CTACTGATGCTACTTTGGCAAAGTCTTTTTGGAGTCCTTTGTTCACGCATTTGTACTGGAAGCAAAAAAGTACCTTAACTTGTCCTGAGCATGTATTGCCAATACTTTGCAAAGAATATATCTATTTTGTGGCTGTCTGTTGCTGTAACCAAATCCTTGTGCTGTTACAGGTTACCTTTAGACCCTTCTAAATCTGTGGAACGTTAGGTGGTGTTAGAACAGTTTCAGAGAAGTAGCAGGTTAAGATTTAATGTCGTCTCTGACCTGCCACTCACTAGAGGGCCTGGCAGGACCAAAAGCCAGGACTCTATCCCTTCCTTTAGGGTGGGAAAGGAGGGAGAGGATGGCATGTCAGGATCAGGTAGCTGGTAGGCAGAGAAAGCAGCTTCAAGGCTGTGGCTTCCCTCCCTGCCTCTCTGTATGGCAGCAGAAGCCAGAGCTGTGGGGAGAAATCTGATAATTTTTAGTGTTTATAGTGAAGTGGGGGAGGGCAGGGAGGAGAACCAAGGAAGGAGCAGAAAAAAAAGATCACACACTTGCATGTGTCAATGAATTGGGATTGGGTCAGGGGTGGAAGGGGTTGTGCTGACTGGAATTGGGGAGTTGATGAGGGCCCTAAATCTAGTTCAGCTGAGTTTAAATTGAAAATTTCCCATGACTGCTTGGCCCTGTTTCCTGTTCTCCCCCAGGGCCAGTGGTTTGGGGGTGGAGAGGGAAGAAGGGGGGGGGAGCTCTCTTTTGAGGCCCCCATGGTCTAGTCCCTGGCAGTGGAGCTGCTAGGGTTTAAGTGAAGTGACAGCATGGATCCTGGGAAAGTCTGCCTTCCCATGCTCAGCGTTTAGCAGCCCTTTCCCTCCCACTGCTCCCTGGGAATGTGGGAGGCTGAGGAGGGAAGATGGCTTCCACCCCCAAAAAACTTCTCCTGGCAAGGGATACCTGCCCAGATGTGGGGCAAAGACTTATCCTTTTGAGGGGAGGCCGTATAACTGGCCTCTGGCCTAGGGGCCCAAATTGGGTTTCCTGGGGTCCTTGGAGCTGGCAGCATGGTGCCATGTGGGTGGGGATCAAACCCACTGGGGGTAGGTGGGGTGTTGACTTGGACCCGTACAAGCTCCTAGACAGTAGATCTTGGGAGGGTGGAAAATTTGTCAGGGTAGAGGGGCTGGAGCCATGCCTCCTGGGATGCTGGAAGACTACAAATTGGTCACTTTTTCTCCGTGGAGCAGACTGGCAATACCCTAGCTCAAGCCAGGTAGAACAGCTCAAAGATAAAGTTAACTCACTTTGGACAAAAGTTAAGACAATTGGGGCGTTTACAGACATTCTCTGGGAGGGGAGGGGAGGGGGGAGGCACTTTAACTAGAGTGGCTCCAAAAGCAGCTCTAATTAAAGTGCCCAGAGTATCATGTGCATCCGTGTCCCTGTTCTGAAAAATAGGGGTGGGGACGCTTTAACTAAAGCTTGTCAAATTAGCTTCAGCTAAAGCACCCCTGCTGCCATTTTTCAGCGCAGGGACACTGATGCATGTGACGCTGGAGTTTGCTGGAGTGTGGTAAATACCACACTCCAGCAGACTTGATTAATTGAGTCTGCTCCTACATGTTGCAATTACAATGCATCAGAGAAGCCTCTCTGCATGTGTACAGGTACCCTTAGCATCGTTTCACACCCTTAATGCATGGGCACTTCCTGTTTGAAGCATGTTTAGAATGGTGTAAAGGTAACCTTAGGCACCAACTATTTAATGACATGGGGTACTGCCATGACAATCCCACAAAGTTTTGCACTTGTGCTTTTCATTCCCTACCTCAATGAGAGTCTTATGCAATGTTGTCTTTCCTAGCTTGTTAAAATTCCATTTAGATTTAAAATCTTTGCCTAAAGATCTGGGTAGCACTGTAAATTTTGATTGGTTTCACAGTATAACTGCCAAATATAGTTTTTGGTGTTAAGTGCTAGAATTTCAATTTTTTAAATTCCATCTAGTACAATGGAAGATTGTAGTCTGCAAGGGATAAGTCAGCATTCAACTGGTCTTTTATTTTACATATTGCTTTTTAATTATGTAAAAAAGGACGTTATAGAAATTATATTTTTCATTTTCATTCTAGTACAAACCAAATGCACGTCTTTTGTTTTTTTTGGGTTAGATAATGACAAAAACATTAAATAGTATTTGCCATAATAAGGTCTATTTTAAGCTACACGTTTTATGGCTTTAGTTTTAAAAAGTTAGGAAGAACAGGTGGACAGAACTCTGAAAGCTGGACCTAACCATGGTAATGTACTTTCTGCAACCACCTCTCCCATGCTACTGTAATGTCAGATCCATAAGAATTCTGATGCAAGATGTGATGTGGATAAAAGCCATGGCTAACCTTTGGCAAGACTCAGAAAGGAACCCAAGCTGTTGCTGAAGAAAAGGAATATAATAAATTACAAACATAGGGATATTTTAATTAAAGGCATCACATTTGAAAAAATATAATCAGATTGGAGTAAGAGACATAAGGAAGAAACATTTGGAAATTATCTGGCAAAGTACAATTGCTAGAGAATACAGACATTCTTCTCACACAATTTGCACTGGTAAAGAGAAAGCACAAGAATTCATTCACAAACTTCCACCCACTTACAAGTTAAGCCACAACTTTGGACTTAACATACCAGATACAAAGAGGAATCACAAATGCAGCTGGCATTTAACACCACATTTCACATTAGTTCACGGTTTCCTGATTCTTTCAAGGAAACTGTATATTTTCACTATTTGCCTTTTGACAAAGCTTGTTCATAGTTCTAGAGCCTGCCCCTGGATAATACTTTGTTATGGAAACAGGGGGCCAAGCAGAGTAGAAAGGATGGTAGATAGGATAAGGGAAGGTCTTGACACAAGAAGAAATATTTCTATTGGCACATTCCTTACAGCAGTTTTTTGATCAGAATGGCTGTCAAACCAATAGTAATAATACAAAAAGGTCAAACTACTACAGAACCACAGCACAAATTATTAAGATTCAATGAGCCCAGTAAGTGGAAAGGAGGCAGTGCTTTTTGCAGCAGCTACTCTTCATCTGCTGCAACAGAGGAATCATCAAAAAACCCACACTCCTCAATCTTCAACCCTGCCCGTGTGTAATGATGGACAAATAAAGATGTAACAAGTGACCAGAATGATTTGGAACATTTGTGCATTTACAGAATTCAGAGAAAACATTTTCTTTAAACCCAAGATCTGTTTTCAGGGTACTTTCTTATAGCATGAATTAAATAAAGACATTTTTTAAAGAAAACTGAGGAAAAACCCATCTTGTGCAAACAGAAGCATATGCCGGAGTTTAATCAGTGAAATCTGGACATCAGATCTGCAGGTCTAGAGAAAAATCCCTTATACCAGCTGAATAAAAGATATGACAATCCTTTGTACAGACCAACAACTAAAGATGCACTTGATATATGTTTTTTCAGAACTTATATAGCTATTTCCTATAAAACAACTGTATATTTTCTGGAATCCGTTATCTGGCTCCTGTGTTTTGTCTTTTTTTTTTTTTAATTTCTCTGAAGCTTTTATCTTAGCCAGGGCTACAGCATCAGTTTGGGTGCACTGTGGTTCCTAATCATATCAAGTAAATACTCAGGTATCTGACTGAGCATTTTTTTCTCCTATACTACAGGTTAAACCCAGCATCCGATGGGGGAAACACAGAAGCATTTCCCTCTGCTCAAACTGGCAAAGACCTCTATGGAAGATGAGAGGGCATTTGTTTTCTTTTGAGGCATCTGTCACTTTGGAGATAAAATACACTTGGAGGATCCTAACAAATACCCTGTAATTGCAATGGCCATGATGCTAGTGAGGTCCTTGTCCCTTCCATTCTCTTCCTCTGGCACACTGTAGGTTTTTGGTGGCTGTGAACAGATGTTAATTATACAGCTGTCTGTGTTCTCAGAAGCCTAAACACTTTGGGCGCCTATACATGTGCAGCAAGGCTGCTCCAACATGCTGCAATTACCGTGAGTCAGAGCAGACTCGATTAATAGAATCTGCTGCAGTGTGCTAATTACTGTGCTCCAGCAGACTCCAGTATCATGTGTTTTAGTGTCCACATGCTGAAAAATAGGGGCAGGGGTGCTTTAACTAAAACTCATTCTAGTGCCCCCTGGCTTCTGGCCAGAGCCACTGCAGGCATGTGGCTACATTTCCTGAATCAAAAGTGAATGTCTACTCACTTGTTAGTCAGTTTGATCTCTACAGTTTAGACCAACTTGCAAAGACTGAATTGATTCAGCCTCGGGTTTTTAACTGCCTGTATTTAGCCATTGGGTCCAGTCCACTGAGGGCAAGGCTCAGCACCCTAGAGTCCTGTGGGCTAGATCTGATCCACAAAGGTCTGATCAAGTATGGCAGGATTGGTGGCAGGGAGCTGGGCCATGCCTCCTGTCTCCTTGGCCTTGTTCTTCTCTACTGCGGAACCTGTTGTTCTGCTGTACCTGTGCTTACCCTTGCTGCAAAACAGATGAGCATCAGCAGTGAGAGCTGGGTCACAAAGGAAGGTCCATGTTTCATAGCTGTTAGGGGCTGGAAGGGACTTTATGTTGACAACAGGCTACTGATTCCTGGCTTATGGCATTTTAAGTTAAAGCCAGCTTCTCGAGCTGTGCATGAGATTTATGTGCATACAATGGGCAGCATTCCCTCTAAACTGCATAGTGTGCGTGGCCACGCAGTCTCACTCATGCTGCGCTGCCAGGCACACCTGCACATGATGCACAGCTTAGAGGGAATGTTGATAATGGGGTTTCAAACTGTCTGAGGCGTGTAGGAGTTGTCACTAGAAAAAACATTCAGTATATAATGAAGTATTGTACCGAAAGAAATCAAAAGGTGGATTAAACTATAATAGGGGTGTGAATTTCTGAACAGAATTTATAAAGTTAAGCCTTAATCTTACACCTCTCCCTCAAGGGTCCAGGAAAACATAACTGTAAACCCTTACCAGATCACTTTTAGGTGTATCCTGATACTCTGCTGAGAAGCAAGACATAGAACCTCTTGTGCCATTGCTCTCATTGGCTTGCTTTGGAGGCTGTGCATATTGCCTATATGTAGCACTCTTAGGAGTCCAGCAGAAGAGATTGATTGACTCACGGACACAACGTTCAATGTCGATTTCTGATCAAGGATTAAGAAACAAGAAAAAATACAGATGTGAAAGTTAGTCCAGTGAGTTAGATCAATGATATTCCAGCTGACAAACAAGTTAAAGTTCTTAGTAACTGTGGTATAATTTGCTTTTCCTTCAAAATGTACTAAAGAAGTTTTACAGAAAAAGTAATATACAAAGTGCATGAGAGCTAATTTTATCTAATCAATAATGTAAAGTATTACAATCAATTAAACTACATGCATATTGTAGTAGAGGAAGGCAATTAGTCATATTAACAGGTACTTTAGGAAAATTGCTTGGCATATTGTAAACTTAAACTTGCTTGACAGCTAGATGGTACAATAGGAAATAAGTCAAGTAGCACATTTACATAATATATAAATTTTCATTTAGTCCAAAAAACAGTGCCCTCTGTCAGTTATACAGCTGCTAAAAGCAATTACTTCCCAGACAGAAAGAGTCCAGTGAAACAAAGTTACTGAGTTTGAACTGTGTGGGTATGTCCATACATGCAGCCTATGTTTTATTGCTATATTTACTATGTTAAAGCAGTTTGGAAGCCTACCAGTGTCTCCATCATCATAACAAAATACATTCTAAATATCCATATGATCTAATGTTTGCTTTTGGTTTTCTTATTAAAGGATGGGTGTGGGGGGAATGTGGCTGGATGAGTGGGTGGGTGTGGAGGGATGTGGGGGGATTGTGGATGTGAGGGACTGTGGGGAGAGCTGCTCAGGGAGGGGTGGGTTCCCTGTCCCTCACAGGGCACAGCCCCTCCCCCAGCACATGGACTGCCCCGGTCCCGCAGGGCCCCAGCCCCCCTGCAGGGCTACAACCCGCCCCCCCCGAAGGGTCCACAGCTCTCCCTCCGCAGCAGCAGTGGCCATGGGGCACTTAGGGCCCAGTGCTGTTGGAGCTCCACCGTGGCGCCATGTGGCCCCGATTGCCTCAGAGCCGGCACCACTTGTGCTGCCTGTCGCAGGTGCAGCCTGGTCCAGTGTGCCTTGCTGCAGCCCCAGGCCACTCATACTGTCACCTGGGGGCAGCTGCTGCTCACAGGGACCGCATGTTGTGCCGGGCCAGGTCCTGCTCCACGGAACCGGGCCAGGCCTATGGCACGTGGGGCCCGTGCACACAGGACCCAGCCTAACATGACTCATGGTCCCCGCAAGCAGTGCCAGACCCCCAGGTGACACCATGAGCAGTCTAGGGCTGCAGAAAGGTGCGTGGCACCATACTGCACTATGGGGGGGACTGGCAGCAGAGGGCCCTGAGCACCCCATGGCTGCTGCTGCTGTGGGAGAATGGGCTGTGCGCCCTATGGGGAACACATGCCCCACAACCATCCTCCCCCCCCCCCCCCCAACCCCCCCCCACGCCCCCCCCCACACACAACCCCACTACAGTCCCCCCACATGAGCACAGCCCTGCCCTACACCCACAATCCCCCCCCACCCCAACGCAGTCCCTACTTATCCCCAACAGCGCCCGGGTCCTGATCCTTGCTGTGTTTCTGCTTGCCCCAGCATCCTAAACATGCATGCCATGCATGCTGGGGCAGCAGAAGCACATAGAGATGCTCTGGTTTCTGGCCAGAGCATCTCTCTGGAGAAACAGCTTCTGGCTTTTCTTCCTCTGGGGTATTTTTTGATACCTGGATATCCAGGTATCAAATTTTGAGTGCACACTGCAAATATGCAGCACGGAAAACATTTTTTATTCGCAGCGTGCCTCCTGCAGAGCCTCAAACTGGTTTGGGACGCTGCAAGAGGCACGTGCACGCTTGTCTGGATGTGCCTGTGTGGCCTGTTTCTTTTGATAAAGCTAGACACTACCTGTTTGCTGGAAAACAGGAAATCTCAGTGTTAATTTGTGCTTGATGGCACACGGAATGGATTTCTTTTAAAACCTTTGAATCCAGTCCAAACCTGGCTGTAATTCAGAGGAGAAACAAGCTGGCTGAAGTACCATATGTGATCTGAGATTACTAAAAATCAGATGGATAGCAGGTATTTGGTAAAGGGGAATGAATTAAAATATGAGAAAGCTGCAAATCAGATAAAAAACTATTATAGAAGAATAAAAAGACATCAAATTGATGCCACCAGAAACACTTGAAGATATGTACAAAACATATTTTAAGGGCTTCTGAAAGTGCTGCAGTTCTGAAATAAAGCAATCAAATGTCCTTCTTTCTTTACCAAGCAACATTCATAGGGCTAACGTGTTTTGCCTGATCTCCTATCCCCCAAAGGGCCAAATAATTGCAGAATTACTCTAACATGCATCTTTTGACAGCCTGACAGTGAAAGATATCAGATGCATTAAAAATAGCACTGGATGTGTCAGTTGTTAATAACTCTGTTTCCAAATGAGATAATATGTAACTCTACCACGGAGTAATCTATATATTTCACATGAATTTGATATGTAGCCCTCAGCAGACGGTGCCAGAAAAACTTTGATAATTATGTTAAGGAAGAGAAGGTGAGGCATGAAACAGAATATTCTTAGATGGTTAGGACCACTTACTCCAATCTATTCGCAACTTAAGACTTGTCAGTTCAAAATTCAGAAAGCCATCTGTATGCTAGAAAGATAAAGACTTACAGAATAAATCTCAAAGAAGTCAATGCATTTAAGTGCTTTCCTATGCCAGGGTCTTAGTGAGCAGATGATTGAAAAACAGGAATCTTCAAGGGAGATATCAAATATGGAGTGTTGTAGCCGTGGTAAAGCTATTTAAAAATATTCTCCAGGAAAGTCTGAGGAACTGGCAAAATTAACACAGGCTTCCGATGTAGAGTTTGCCAAACTATTTCAGCTCCATTATCACTACATCGTAGAATATAGGTTCCAAAACACTGCCACTGCACCAACATTTTCCTCAGATCTTAAAGGCACAGTTTATTTGTACATGGATGAGATTTTCAGTTTAATGTTTACAGTATTTACAGCTTTTCTCCCACAGTCCTCCTCCATAGGGAGACGGTTCATTTGATCATGAATTAGCACTCTCTTCTGCTGGGATTCTCAGCATACCTTGCACAACTGGTAAGGAAACTTCAGCAATGCCGGTGTGTGAAGAGAGATAAAAGTGGCTTGCCTTTCCAAGTTTAACAAGACATCAGAACATGTCCAGCTTTATAGTCCAAGTAACAGTTGTGGGAGGACATGGTCTACAAAATATCTCAATATTACTTCAAAAAAACCCCAGGGAATTCAAAGAGGGAGAGGAATTACTGAGAATAGGATAAAAAGGTATGCCTGAGATGAAAGCAGTCATGAAATTAAGAAAGCAAATATTTAGGCAGAGTATCAGAAAAATCTTCTTGTGAACAAATGTCTTCCCCCAGCCCATGGCTCCCCAAAGAGAAGCCACTTTCAACATCATAAATATGTAGCAGTGGATTACTGCAAGGATCCCTGCAACACTATAACCATTAATATTCTAGAAAGACTTGGAGGGGAAGAGAAGGAGTAAGGTGGAAAAATCTATTATAGCTACTCAAGACTAGAGAAGACTGAAGAATGGAGAGCGTGATGCTAGATGACATTCAGTAGTCAGTCTCAGGTAATGCACACTTGAAGAAATTGGTTGAACTGTGCAAACATACATGTTACTGAGTTCTAGCTGTAACATCTTATGTAGGAGATATGAATGCCCTTGTATAACTAGTTTGATGAAAACCTCAGCTTGGTACCTAGCATTAGAGAAGACAGCTTAAAACACTAGGGTGCAAAAATGATTTGGAGATAAAACACTGAAAATATGTAATGGTGTTGTTTTCTAAATCAATGTAACTCCCTCATATAAATAATTATATTCTAACCTAGTCATTTTAAGAAAAAAAATACATAAAAATGATTCAGATATGGCCAATGAAAATAATTACAAGCCTGGAGAAGCTTTTGCATGAAGAGAGATTGGATAGATTAGACTAACAAATGTGAAAGGAAAGACATAATGACTATCCTAAATACCCTCTCACATAATAAAAAAACACCACCAAGGAGACATTCAAGAACATGGACAAGTGGTTAATGAAAGCAAATCATTTTTAATGCAATGCTAACCAACACCGGGAACTCGCTGCCATAAAATAATCTCAGAGTTCACGAGCTCAAAAAAATTAAAAGCAGTTGATACCAATATTACAAAACCCCGGTCATGTAAGATGAGAGGAATGTAATTCCATGATTGCTAACTATAGAGATTCTTTATATTACGAGGCACCTGGTGCTGGTCACTGGGAATGATAGGATATTTTGCTTGATATACCATTGTTCTGATACAGTATGGAAACCCGTATCTCATACTGTATTATTTAGGTAAATACCAAAGAATAAGGTGGGATTTAAACTTTTATCTATTCTAGCAGTAGGGAGACACATTAGTACTATAAATATTTTAAAAATATTATATTCCTTTATACTTCCTATGTGGATAAGAAATTATTCTCTCCTCTTACTATTTAGCATTCTTATAGCACATCCACAGAAAACAAGTTTCAAGAGTAAGGGTAAATTTTCCTTGAGGACAACAGCGGCAATAACATTTTTAAGAACACATGCAAACTAGTTGTATATTTTGGATTTTCCTTCTCCAATTGGTATTGCTAAGCAATCTTTTCTGCCTGTTCTGATGGACATCAGTGATCCTGATAAGCTTGTCCTGATGGACATGGCTGCTTACAGATGTTAAAAAACCCTCAAAATGATGGCGCTTTACTTTAAAATCTGCGTCCTCTGTGCTGAGTGCAGTTAGTGCCCAGAAGAAACATTGCATTAGTTGGACCCAGCTCACCCAATGTCTGTATAGATCAGGTACTTTAGTGGGGCTTTTTTGGCACTTTTATCTAATAGTTGATTCAGATGCTGCAGAGCGAGGTCAAAGTAACACGCTGCTGCTTCCGGTAAAGTGCAGGGTTTTGTTTTTTTAAACATCTGCAAGCAACAAGCTGTAAGACTGAATTTAAAGTGGTTTTTAATATAAAAAACC